AACGATATGGGTGACAGACCATGTCATATGGACTATGAAAATGTGGGTACGCTCTGCTCCGCCTTGGTGGAAACCGGGCCTGACACGTGCTTTATGACCAGTGCAGACCTGATGAGGCTCGGCGAAGTGAACAAGAAGGAAGTAATTTAAATAAAACCCTATGTTTCATGTTATACGGTCGGTAATGTAGCGTCACGAGGCGCTGGACAGTTTTACCCGTTGACATACGCTTGCGAATCCCACTCTGCACAGAGACTCTTAGCGACGCTTGGGATCTCTGCTTGCGGTCAAAACCACGCTTAATTACTGTAAAAGCGCTTTACAAAAACCTCTTTGCAGAACCTAAATTACTTTTATGACTTACTGCGCCTAGTCGCGCGTTCGTCTGAACTTAACCTTAGTATTTTTAAAATCGACAATTTTTTTTCTTTTCAGGCCGAGGACTACAGACTAGCAGAAATAGTAGACGCCGAGGGAGAGATCCGAGACGTTGCTCCCGCTCCCCCGCCGAAGCAAGAACCTGAAGGTCAGCGTTCAATTTTATTTATTTATAAATGGGTCTCAGACTCAGTTCACACCAACTTCACTCCTAATTTTTGGAGGTGTCAACAGTTGTATTTATCGCATCTACAAGCTACCTACCTGTTTGTAGACCAGTTATAATAATATAATAATAAATAATATTTATTGAACTTTCAAGTAAGTACAAGAATTCCTCTTATAAGTAAAGTGTAATTTACAATTAAACATCTCGAATAAATTATGAATAAGTACTTACATTTGTAATGCACATTGCAAAGATGGTGGTGTTACTGCAAATTGAACTCTGTTTAGCTATCGTAAGGTGCATATTGCGTTGTTACGTGGTTGTTACAGAGGAGGTAACAGGTCCCTAGTGCGTTCCGATACGCGGCCTCCACTCCAGAACCTTGCTGCCCCATCGGCCGTCAGTTCTGCGTACTATGTGCCCTGCCCACTGCCACTTCAGCTTGCTAATCCGTCGGGCTATGTCAGCGACTTTAGTTCGTTTACGGATCTCCTCATTTCTGATTCGATCTCGTAAAGAAACACCGAGCATAGCGCTCTCCATAGCACACTGTGCAACTTTGAGCTTCTGTATAAGGCCTATAGTGAGTTATTGTTAAATGGCTGATGTTAATGCAAACTAAGCCTAAGTGACTGTGAAAGCCAGCTTGCAATATTTTTTTTTTTTTTTTTCTTTGGACAATTTCACACAGCGCCAGCTAGCCCCNGATATGCTAGTAACAAAATATACTACCGATATTACACGCTACAACAAAAAACGCTATCACGGTGAAATGCGAATAGGTGAAAAGCTACAAGGATTTTGTGATTTCGAGGTATACGACTAACAAACGGTAAAAACGACCCGCCCAGCCCCCTTCTGTGAGGCTCTGTATTAGTTTGCTCAGTCAGCTCTGCTGAGGGCTTAGTGTGAGTTTACATCAAATGTCCTAACCAGAGAGCGCGTTAAAAAAATATATGAAAATTTTAGTTCTTGAAAGTTTCCGCTAGGGGCGTTGTACAATCATTTTTTTACGCGCTCACTAGGTGAGGACGTTTTATGTAACTCACACTAAACCCTCTGATAGAGGAGCGACCCTCTAAAGAATAGACCAGGTTAAACACTACGCCAGCCTCTACCTGTGGGGTTTTTGTAGATACCCCCTGCCATTGTGTATCGAGCAAATGTTGCAAAGGCGGTCTCCGGTCCATTGAATTTTGGGTTACGAGTTTCCTGACGGGTCCGCTGAGTTGATGAGATCTATAGGGCTTTGGTTTCTGTCCGCGCTGGTATTAACCTTGGTGCGCCCCATTATAGGGGCCATCCCCCTATATCCGCAATCCGGGGACGCTTCCGATAGCAGACCTAAAACTGCACATTAATCTGTGGTATCCCATCTAAGTGGAATATACCACTAATCCGCTGATAGAGTTTGGGTTTTAGCGCTTTCTTTTTGCTATACCTACTAGGTCATTGGTTCCCAAAAATGGGGGCGCGGGCCATCTGTAAGAAACCTGCGACCGCTGAAAGAATGCATTCCAGACTGCTCGATACGACCAATAAATAATCTTGACTGGAGGAGGGGGGCGCGGAATTTTTTGTATGGTCAAAAGGGGGCGCGTCTCAAATAAGTTTGGGAACCAATGTACTAGGTGATAGAAATAGAAAAAACTTTAATATAACACAATATTCATTTAAACAGTTTAATGAAATGAAATGAAAATATATTTTATTCAGTACATAGGCCTTTTCCAGGGCACTCATACACATCCCAAATATAGCTTGCCCTACCACCAATTCGGGAGAACATTGTTGTACATATCTCTTGTACCCATTTAATCGTCCTATAGTTCCAAAATACTGAACTGTCCTATCCATGACATTGACAGCGGGGCGCCACCGTCAATACCGGATCGCTGGTTCCGATTTTTGCCATGTTGGAAGCCATATAGTTGAACGATGGTAGCGCCCCCCTGTCATTGAGTTTGGTGGGACAGTTCAGCGTGGGTCATCTATATTATGCATTTTACCGAGTTAGTAGTCAAACGCATAACATGTCAATGTCATGTTATGCGTTTGACTGCCTCCTTCGTGCCCACTTCTATTAGAGTAAATACAAATGAGTAGGTCATCTTCATAGAAACGCACCGAGCGCGGTTTGTATGTGAGCGCGCCAATATACGTATGCGGCGCGCACGCACACACTGACAAAATTCGGCGCAACCACGACTGGCTCCCAGCTAATCCACGCTAAATNACGCCAACTTTTTGCTACAACGCTCTTAACGGATATACTACTTATATACTTTTTTTTAAATACATAAATATTATACATAGTCACACCCAGACCCGTCACAGAAATTAAAATTCATCATTTCAATTTCTGCCCGAAGCTTGCAATATATAGAACTAGTAGACCTGCTGTTGATACAAACTGAATTTTATTACTGTAGATAATATGGTGCATACTAGCGGCCGCCCGTGACTTCGTACGCGTGGATCCCGTTTTACCTACTTAGGGGCGGAGTTTCGTAAAATCCGTTCTTAGTGAGCACCTACGTTCTAAAAGGAACCCCCGTGGAAAATTTGAGACTCCTAGCATTTGTAGTTTCTGAGATTTCGTGATGAGTGAGTCAGTCAATCAGTGACCTTTCGCTTTTATAGATATAAATTGTTTTTAGGAAGTGACAGAAGTCCCTAGCAAGTGCGTGAGCGCAATTCTCACAGTTACCGTGAAAGCCATCTATCAATATTTAGAATTAGTAGACCTGCTGTTGATACAAACTGAATTTTATTATTGTAGATATTAATATATCTATATGTACAGGGTGTTAGGTAAATGGGTATATGAGCCGACACTAGCCCATGTTAACATGGGCATATAAATGGTATGGTGAAGTCAGAAATTTGATATTATCATTTAATATTTTTTTATTTGAATACAAAATAAATTTTATAAAATCCGATTTGTATGAAAATTAAAATAATTAAAATGAAGATATCAATTTTCTGACTTCACCATACCATTTATATTCCCATGTTAACATGGGCTAGTGTCGGCTCATATACCATTTACCTAACACCCTGTATAAAAGAAAGTCGTGTTAGTTACACCACTTATAACTCAAGAACGGCTGAACCGATTTAGCTGAAAATTGTCAGGGATGTAGTTTAGAGCCAGGAGAAGGACATAGGATACTTTTTATCCCGTTCGAAAGTAAAAAAAAAGTCTGCTTATTTATTGCCATTAAGGCGGAACAAAGTTCGCCGGGTCAGCTAGTTGTAGATATATGGTGCATATTATTGTTACAGAGGAGGTGACAGAAGTCCCTAGCAAGTGTGTGAGCGTAGTACGCACAGTGAGCGTGAAAGCCAGCGTTCAGTACATCGAGCTGGAAGGCCGCTGTGACGGCGAGTCTTTACTAAGATTAGTGGCGCACGCCAAGCCGAGGGCTATTGTTGGCCTGCGAGCCAACGAAACTGCCTTGATGACGCTTAGGTAAGTATGGCTATGATGTCCGCACTGGTGACTGTTTATCACAATGACAATATATCTTTCTGTTTTACACTTTTATAAAGAGAAAAAGAGACAACGTAGTTCTTATCTATAGAGACATCCTGTCACGATGATAAGTCACCCGTGCCAGCGGTGGAAAAGGGGCGGTGAACGAAATTACGTTACCGACACTACGAGAGATTATTGATTGAAAGGCTCTGTAATGGTGTCAAATTAAAATTACATTGTTCTACATTCGTGTTAGCTTAGTAGAAAAGTCAAGAGGAAGAAAAATGTGACAATCGGTTAAGAATAAAAATTAAGAAATTTATGGCCGGCCAGACGAGCGGCCAAGGATTTTGGACCTTTTCAATTTTACTTGTTATATTAGACAGACCTGTATAGGACTCATTAGCCAACTCTAGACCTAAGGAATCATTGCTACGATTTTTGTAAACGGTCAAAAACGAGTCAATGGTTTTTGTACTTTAGTTCATTTATGTGTAGAAAACTGTTAATTCTTGAAAGATATTCTTATACCATTAGTTCCATAGACCTAAAAATTGGGAAGCTTGTTAATTGTTATTGTGTATTGAAACCAAGACTTTTTTTAAGTTTTTTTTTTTGTGTTCATTACAGTAAACACTGCCAGAACGAAGGCATAGAGAAGATCTTCACTCCGAACCGCGGTGACATTATTGATGCTACCACGGAGTCTCATATCTACCAAGTAAGTAAATAATCAAAATGTCGTTAAATATGATGTATTCGCTCGACACAAGGCAGAAAATCCGAAATTCATGCGCATGCAATATCACAGGGCAGAATCTAATGTGTATTTTTTTTTCTAGTTTCAGAGCATTTAATTTATTATTTATTCGTTCAACTTAAACCCGAAGTTTTGAGACCAATTTTGATAGTATAGATCTGCGTTTAGTTCGAGACGAATCGAAATGTCTCTTCGAGTTCTTGTGCTGTAACAAAATTAAATACCTCATCTTCATGGTCAAGGGAAATTGTTAAATGAAGATTACACTTTCTAACTATAGTTGTTGCAATTCACGAAGGCGAGTGAGCTTTTCATGTGTGGTGGCTCGCTACTGTTCGTTTTTCAAAAGTTTTGATAGATATTACACTCGTTATGTGCATGTACACGTACACACAAGTAAAATTCACTCGCCTTCGTGAGTTGCAAGAACTATACAGGGTGGAAACGATAAGTAATCTCACTCGATTATTTCTAAACTATACAAGATATCCAAAAACTGGTTACTGATCCTGAAAGTCCTTCACGAGATCTATCCAACGGTACCAATAATAGGTTACAAAATAAACTGGATCTATCCTAAAAATCAATGTTTCCAGCTTCCATACATTTAGTAAAACCAAATAATATTAAAAACTATACAAGATATCCAAAAGTTGGTTACTGATCCTGAAAGTGCTTCACGAGCTCTATCCAACGGTACCAATAATAAGTTGAAAAACAAACTGGGTCTATCCGAAAATTCAAAGTTTCCAGCTTCCATACATTTAGTACTGCCACAGTCATGGCACTCATGTCTTGATAATACTATAGCAAGTTAAGCCTAAAACCAATGTTTTCCATGAATAATTTTGAATAAGAATGCAAGTTACAAGTTCATTTTAAGTGTTTATTATTTAATAAAAAAAAATACACTTTTAATATTGTGTGGCTGGCATACATTTAATATGGAGGCTGAAAAAATTGACTTTTCGGATAGATCCAGTTAATTCTGTAACATAAATATTACTGATATCGTTTGAAAGAGCTCGTGAAGCACTTTCAGGATCAATAATCAGTTTTTCGATATCTTGTGTAGTTTAGAAATAATCGAATGAGATCACTTATCGTTTCCACCCTGTATAATTACTGACTGTCCTGTTCCCCCCAGGTGAAGCTCACCGACAGCCTGATGAGCGACATCGTGTGGCGGAAGGCGGGCGACGCCGAGCTGGCCTGGCTCTCCGCCACCGTCGCCGCGCGCCCGCACCAGAGGGAAACTGATGCCACCACAGGTCAGTATAGTCACAGAATACATAATAGTAGCAACAGAAATTGCACTCCTTTGTGTAGGATCAGATGCCGACATTTTAACGGTAATAATAATAATGCAAAATATCCAACGCATATATATGGTGCATTCGAAATCGCACCTTACTACTACGCTCACAAGATACTACGTTTAGAATTGATGTACGTCACCGCTCAAGCGTCAGGGTTGTATGAGCAAAGTAAAATAAATAAAAACTTAATTTTTCAAATTTCAAATTAACTTCAAATTTATGTATGCGAGTCATTTCTACTAGTACCTTAATATGTAAGTCTAGATATTAGCACGTCACTACCTTGTTTAATATACCACGCAATCTTGTATACCCAGTGAACTGCTCCTGAATCGAATGTACCTACTACTACTATTTCTATTTATTTATATTAACCGGCAGACAGTGGTGACTGAGTTTGTTGCGGCGCTTCTTCTCAGCACTTGCCAAATGTTGGTCTCGAAGCGCTGGTAGGGTAAAAAGATTATGAGACATGTAGAGGCTCCTTAAGAGCATATGACGATTTGTAAGAACTATTTATTAGTCTAAACAAATAAAGAAATTTTGACTTTTTGACTTTGACTTAATTTTAAGAAGCATTTATTGTATTTACGATTAGAAAACTTTAATCTAGTGGAGTTTGTATAATCGTACCATCTCTAAAGTACCTATTAATAAACTTCAGTGTTGCGATAATTCGAAATTAAACAAACAGTTTTAAAAGGTGTAGTGTCGGAAAATAGACACGGTGAAGTAAAGTTAATGTTTTTATTAGCTAAAATAATTTTTTTGCTATAGTTTTTTGTCATAAGTATTTCAAAATAATTTATTATTTAAAAAGTGTAGTTTTTTTATTATTTAAATGACTACAGTTAATTATTATTCCTAAATATTCCAATTTTGCATTAAAGAAGAATAACAGTGCTGTTGGAACAATAAACCTTGATTGCGACGATGATCGACCGATCGTGTATAGAAATACGCGTGTGCAAACAGGCGCGTGGCGGCCCGGACAGATTTGCAACTTGAAGTTGTCGCGCGCTGTAGGTAATTATCTCGGAAGGCATAGGCGAGTGACGGAGGCCTGGTATAGTTAAGTACCCCAGTGGAGCGAAGAACACGGCTTCATAATCATCATCATTTCAGCAACAGGACGTTCACTGCTGAACGTAGGCCTCTCCCAACGATTTCCCAAACATTTCAAAAAATCAAAATCAAAAATATTTATTCAGTTTAGACCACAAGTGGCACTTATGAACGTCAAAATATAGTAAATAATAATAAAAAAAAAGAAAAAGGTAGCCCTTATGGGGCACTTTACATGTCTCCTTATCTTTTGGGCCCTACCAGCGCGATTTCTGCACCCAGCGTCTTCCTGCTATATTTATGAGGGCATTGTGGGTATCTTTATCTTGCTGCTATCTTTATGAGGACCTCCTCTACACTGCTTAGAAAAGTAAAACTATTTTGCCTCACAAAAATTTGCAATAGCAAAAGCTCACAAAAGTGAAAAACTCCACCACTATTCCATATCTTGTAAAACTGAAAAAAATCTTGAAAGTATATTGACGATCTGCTTCAGCAGATCGTCAATATACTTTCAAGATTTACGCGTTGTCTGCATTGCTTCTCGCGACCTTCAGGTCGCGAGAAGCAATGCAGACAACGCGTTGTTGTGAAATCCTTGGGGGAAAGACTAGTCCAGCAGTAACTGTAGCAGTCGATAAAAATCAACTAATGTTACGCCCTACTGTATTCATTTTGATTTGTCAGTTTTATGCGGTAGTTTGAAAGAAAGAGTAGCCAAATTATCGATTTCAGAATCATCGATCAGAACACTGTATTATAAGGTATAGCATTTTACTGAGTTAGTACCTGATATTGACATGTTATGCGTTTGACTGCCTTCTTCGTGCCCACTCCTATACTTCAGGCACTGATCCAGTTAAGAGTAGGCGCACACCGTTGATTTTTAGCTGGCCGATAGTTGTGCCCGATTTTAAATTGTATGAAGAATCGGCCAAATCGAATCGGCGTAGTGTGCGCACTCCCATACATGCCCATACTGATCAACTGCCCGACTAAACTATCGGCCGACGAAAAATCAACTGTGTGCGCCTAATACTCTAAGTCTAGACCCATAATAATTCATCGTTCTACGTATAGATGACCCACGCTGAACTGTCCCACCAAACTCAATGACAGGGGGGCGCTACCATCGTTGAAATATATGGCTTCCAATATGGTAAGAATCGGAACCAGCGATCCGGTAATGACGGTAGCGCCCCACTGTCAATGTCATGCATAGGACAGTTCAGTATTTTGGAACTATATGCATCGCAGAGGACACGTCAAGCGACGTGGTAATGTCTCTGGAGCCGTGCGCGGGCGCGGCGCACGCGGCGTCGTTTGTGAACTCGGTGCGGCTGTCGGAGCTGCGCGCGGCCGTCGCCAAGCTCGGGCTGTCGGCCGAGTTCAGCCAGGGCGCGCTCGAGTGCTGCAACGGCACGCTGGCCATCAGACGCGTGAGTGGATTGTTTTAACGCTATCGGCTAACGCTGTTCACATCTCAAGTCTGGTCCTGATATGTAGCGTTGCATGTTGTGAACGAAATGTGGACTGTACTAAATTGTGCGTTTGAAAAAAAGATACAGAGGAGATCAAACAGAAATATATTATCACGGGCTTAAGTTTAATAAAACTAGTCAAACAGTACAAAAATGACAAGACACTAAGAATTTGGTTTTTACAAATCTTTAGGCCGAGAGTATAAAGGTGGAAGGAGGATCGTTCGCAACATCCTCCCCCCGTACAGGACCGCACCAGACCAGAACGGCTTACTTCCCCGTATCGTTCTTCGTATCGTATGAAGTTCTTTCTGTATTAAGCCCTCGATTAACCATCCAACATACCTTGATGATCAGACAAAAAGCGACTCGACATGGGTCAGTCTCGGCTCCTATCAAGTCCGTATCGTATCAGAGCTCATATCAAAACTAGGCGATACGGTGAACGGATCGGGCACATATCACATATCAGGACCCGGATTTATGTAGTATGAAGAAGCCTCCAAGTGTATACAGGTCTTGACTTTTGCCTCAAAAACGTGCTCCAGCTAACTTAAAAGGGGCAGCTTTACACAGCACAGCTTTTCTAGCTCTTCAAAGATAGATGTAAGTTTTTTAATTTTGTAATTCGTAAAAACTCTAAAATTCCTTTTAGCTGGAGAACGGGCGCGTCGCGTTAGAAGGCGTGTTATCGGAGGAATACTACAAAGTGCGGGAGCTGCTGTACGACCAATTCGCCATCGTCTGAGGCGGGACCGACTGAAATTGTTATGTAAATAGTATTAATTACGCGTAAGGAATAAAATTATGAATTTAAACTTTGTCTCTTGAAATTACGGCTACTACTTTACAAGCCAGACCTTAGTGTAAAGAAAACTCGCTTCTCAATTTCATAAAATTGCTCAATTTTTTTACTATTCACCTACTTGCAGTCTCATGACGCTACGTGTATTAGCGGTACGTGTTGCTTAATTTTATTGTTACCGTCTTGATAGGTTAAAACTAAATGATTCAAATGAATAATACAAGAGTTTCACCATTTTATAATTTATTTCACAATTTCCGGAACCACGTCACAATTAATAACATTATGTAAATAAACAAGGTACGAACTTCATTACAAATAAGACACAGGTATTGTTGGATCTCTACTTTGATCTGAGAAGACTCTAATAAAATAATTTTAATAATTACATATTCCAGTCGTAGTTTTCTTAAGTCTAAATAGGGTATTCTATACCCAGATTAGTTTTTCTTTAAAAAATACGTTTGCAACGTGCGATATAAATAAATTTGGACCAAAAAAGATGGCTGCCTAGCTGCCATTTGTGATGATGCCGTATCAAAATCCGCGGATAAAAACGGGCCGTGTTCCATCCAAATTTATTCCGACCGCAGTATTATAAAATAACAAAACCGTATAAATACAGTAATCGCAGATCCATAACGAACAAAACTTACACTACATTCTGGCACATCTCTGTACAACTATCATACCCTGAGACTACCACCGCACTTTACACAAAATTAAAAACTTATAAATATAGTAAATATTCTTAACATAAGAATAACTACAACAAAACCTTTATAAATAACTCACTGGAATTAAGATGTTTACATACTAATGTGATTTTATATTTTAATTAGCGGTACTTGGTCGCGTATGCGTTCATAAAATACGTCAATATAAACAATAAAATAACACTTTTACATGTTCATTTCATTAGGATTCGGTGAATGATTTTATAAATCAGGTTTAGCAAAATGTAGACGTAACTACCATTTTTTTCTTCAAATATTCATTTAGGTGTAGAGATCATATAAACTTGGCCGTTTTTTAATTTAAAATTGTCAATCAAATTAACAAACTGAATGATCTATGACAATATACCTCGGCAAGCGTGTGCAAAAGCATTAGTAAACAAAATTTTAATAGCCTGTTTGTAATGAAAAATGTACAAAATTCTAGTACCGCTTCTTACATTAAGATTTATTACTATTTCATACTTCTTTCGCTGTCATACGCAGCAACCGGTAACAGTTTTCGAGGTATTCATAGTTTATAATACTGTTCCACTATTACAAACGTCTAAATATATTTTATATACACAACTTTACAGTCAGGATATAATTATATCATTAATATTTAACAATATTGTATATTATACATTACCATGTCAATGATTCCAAAATAACTACGACTACAAAAACAAAGTAAATATATCGATAAATCGATAGTGGAACAGCTCTATATAACATCTATAGATAGTTATATTTTAAAGACAAATCGGTAATGTTAAAATAATTACTGACGTTGTACATGATTTCGATTGGAAGATAAAATAAGCACCGATTGTACTCAAGGTATACCAAATAAGTAATTATGAAATATTGTTCAAACAATTACAACCAGTATTGTATGTAGTGGAAATACGCGCTCCTTTAGAAATGTTCTCTAATAAACCATACATTTTCAATCTAATATTACAGCTATAGCGCCTAACTATGGAGGTACCTGCGCGGACATGTGACGTAACAAAGCAGAAATCTCACTGACGTTTGACGAAACAATTGACGTAACAAAACATCGCTCCACAACCACAGTTAAACTCTATACCTTTAGCGTAAAGTTACAATTCAACCAGAAACATTGTGTAGAACTAAAACACAATTACATAAGGTAAATGCGCCGAATACGGCCTACGCAATTCGCCGAATCAAAAGGGTCCAGCCGGGGAAATAATGCCAGTGACTTAAAAACAAATTGTCTACGCTAACGTGGTAAAATATTGTATTCATTCGATTCAATTTTACACCCCTAATGATATTTTTAAAAATGGACACGACACAATTTTGAAATAAATAATTTAAAACCTAAACACTTCAAAGTGAACAAAGACAGTCATTGTCATTATATAAATTTGATTCATCTATCCATTAAAACATAACCCATATCGCGTTATGAATATGTATAAAACATATTTTGTTCTTACAACAGAGAATCGCTCATGTGTGTGTCTAGAATCCTAGACATAAAATTATATCACCTACAAACAATACTATGTAACTTGACAATAGTCATCATGCGCAGTCTATACACATACAATCGCGAATCAACACCTCAGGATTCTTTCCTCGACCATACTTAATCTCTTATAGCAGTAAAACTAGATATATTTTTTATATTATACAAAAATAGTAACAAGTTTTGTACTTAATCCGTCCATCGTTTTGTACATTAACGGCGCGGGACGCGAGTCGAAAACTAAACCAAATCGACAGAATGTTCGTTATAATTGATTGCCCGCCTCTCACAGCCATAAATCTTGTAGATTTGACGATCGTATTTTGATATAAAACATATTTTATTTTAACTATACTTATCTTGATCATGAAACTTTATTTAAACATTCTTGAAACTGTGATGTATCTACATTCATTAGTGTTCATAACTCAAAATACGACGACTAATCCACCAAATAAATAACGTCATGTACACATACAATTTGAAACCGCGTCTTTAAATGCAGACAAAGTATGGCATTCTGTTGATATGTAAACAGCATATCGCGCCCCGGCGCTTAAAACAAAATAAAAGTCGACGCTGTCACCACACAACCAGTCCGCTGATTCGCTGAGCCGTCGGATGGCTGGGCCATGATGCCGCCGAGCCATTACATGGCTCGGTCGAGGTCCATCATTCTTCACGCCCGTCGATCGAAGGTACACGATAGCAATAAGGTAAGCGTTTATAGAAGTTCAACGTCAATCTCACAGACACCCACTCCTAAATACTATCAAACATAAGTGACGGTCGCATTCACATTACACATACACAATTCTTCAATTATTTATTATTATATTACTTATATTATAACATCCATCACAGTCTACTTTTTACACCATTTACTTACATTTAAAGGGGAGGATACACCCAGTGATTAATTTCTACTCTAGTCCATCAATTCGTAACACTAATCCCGATACCGTTACCGTAGACGTTCAAACAAAAACTAACCTTATTCACCTTTTAACATCGAATAATTTACAATATAATGCGACCCTCACTAACATTAAAGACCTAAAAACTTTATAATCCATCTTCTTTAAAACACTGAACTACTTCACATCTATACCGACAAAGGGGCAGATAGCACTGGCACTGGTATATTTCACAAGTGTTTGAAATCCGGCTTTCACATAATTTCATTAAATTCTTGGGTCCTGTTTTCTGCACTAGCACTAAAGAGACACGTTTGGCGACTTTTCTGGGATCAGGGTTCTTAACTTTGATTCACACTAATCTTAGTTCAAGGTTATATCGCTGCAACGTGCCCAGCGTCAACATTCATACAAAGAATTCAATCTCTGGTCCAAGTTTGGTTGAAACTGACCCCGAGATCTTAGGGTTCGTTCTAGTCTATGGCAGTTTGGTTCTCAGGTTTTAGTCCAGTTTTGGTCCATGATTAATTGAAATTGACCCCTTTTGTAGAATAATCAAGAGGGGGACACTTCCAACTGTCGCAGAGCAGGAANGGCAGCCAAAGGAAGCAGGTCTTCAGTCAGGTCTACCACTACCAGGGGATACTAGGGAAGTGTTTACTGTTCAGGTATTGCAGGTCAGACTAGCGAGGATCCTAGTGTCTACTGCTCAGATCTAATGCCAGTAAGACCAGCGAGAAACCTGGAAATGTACTGCCCAGGCCTTATTAGTTCAGACTAGTGGGGGTCTGTTAACAATAGTCTCCCATCCAGGTGCGTTGGTTAGACCAGCGAGGATCCTAGATTAATGTCTACAGCACTGGTGTGGCGCCAGTCAATCCAGCGGGAATCCATAAGCGTCTGCTAACGTGGCAGGCCAGACCACCAGAATATATCACCAGTATATTATCCAGGTGTAACGCTAGTCATACCAGCGGAGTACTAGAAGAGTGTCTGCTTTCCAAGTGTGGCAGGTCAAACCAGCGAGGATCCTAGAGTAGTGGACTATTGCCCTGGTGTATCGCCTGTCAGACCAGCGGGGCACTACAGATTCTATCCAGGTGTGGCACCAGTCAGACCAGCGGGGTACTAGTTTCTGCTATCCAGGTGTGGCAAGTCAAACCAGCGGGACATTAGCGTCTGCTATCCAGGTGTTTCTGGTCAAACCAGCGACGACCTAGAGTATGGACTGTTTCCAGGCGTCGCCGGCTCCGCCAGCGTGTCTCGTGCAGACTACCGCAGACAGGCCTCCAGCATCTCGACGAAAAGCTTGTTCAGTTCAGACTAGCGGGGGTCTTGTAGCAATAGTCTCTTATCCAGGTGCGTTGGTTATACCAGCGGAGATCCTAGAATAGTGACTACAGCCCTGGGTTGGCGCCAGTCAATCCAGCGGGAATCCAAAAGTGATCCAGGGTGATATATTATCCAGGAGTAACGCCAGTCAGACCAGCGGGGTACTAGTGTCTGCTATCCAGGTGTGGCAGGTCAAACCAGCGGGGTATTAGCGTCTGCTATCCAGGTGTTTCTAGTCAAACCAGTGACGACCTAGAATATGGACTGTTCTCAGGCATCGCGTGTTACTAGAAGAAGTGTCTGTTATCCAGGTGTGGCAAGTCAAACCAGCGGGACATTAGCGTCTGCTATCCAGGTGTTTCTGGTCAAACCAGCGACGACCTAGAATATGGACTGTTCTCAGGCGTCGCGTGTTACTATAAGAAGTGTCTGTTATCCAGGTGTGGCAAGTCAGACCAGCGGGGTATTAGCGTCTGCTATCCAGGCGTTTCTAGTCAAACCAGCTACAACCTAGAANAGCAGGAAGCGGGTCTCCCGTCAAGTCTGCCACTACCAGGGGATACTAGAGAAGTGTCTACTGTCCAGGTATTGCAGGTCAGACTAGCGAGGATCCTAGTGTCTACTGCTCAGGTCTAAGGCCAGTAAGACCAGCGAGAATCCTAGAAGTGTACTGCCCAGGCCTCATTAGTTCAGACTAGTGGGGGTCTTGTAGCAATAGTCTCCTATCCATGTGCGTTGGTTAGACCAGCGAGGATCCTAGAGTAGTCTACAGCCCTGGTACCGCCAGTCATACCAGCGGGAATCCAGAAGTGTCTGCTAACCAGACGTGGTAGGCGAAGATCCTAGAATAGTGACTACCGCCCTGGTGTGGCGCCAGTCAGACCAGCGGGTTACTAGAAGTGTCTACTGTCCTGATGTAGCAGGTCAAACCAGCGAAGATCCTAGAATAGTGACTACAGTCCTGGTGTGGCGCCAGTTAATCCAGCGGGAATCCATAAGCGTCTGCTAACGTGGCAGGCCAGACCACCAGAATGGTATATTATCCAGGTGTAATGCCAGTCATACCAGCGGAGTACTAGAGGAGTGTCTGCTTTCCAAGTGTGGCAGGTCAAACCAGCGAGGATCCTAGAGTAGTGGACTATTGCCCTGGTGTATCACCAGTCAAACCAGCGGGGCACTACAGGAGTGTCTATCCAGGTGTGGCACCAGACCAGCGGGGTACTAGAAGAAGTGTCTGTTATCCAGGTGTGGCAAGTCAAACCAGCGGGACATTAGCGTCTGCTATCCAGGTGTTTCTAGTAAAACCAGCGACGACCTAGAGTATGGACTATTTCCAGGCGTCGCCGGCTCCGCCAGCGTGTCTCGTGCAGCCTACCGCAGACAGGCCTCCAGTATCTCGACGAACAACTTGTTCAGTTCAGACTACTTGTTCTTGTAGCAATAGTCTCCTATCCAGGTGCGTTGGTTAGACCAGCGGAGATCCTAGAATAGTGACTACCGCCCTGGTGTGGCGCCAGTCAATCCAGCGGGAATCCAGAAGTGTCACGTGGTAGGCCAGACCACCAGAATGATATATTATCCAGGTGTAACGCCAGTCATGCCAGCGGAGTACTAGAAGAGTGTCTGCTTTCCAAGTATGGCAGGTCAAACCAGCAAAGATCTTAGAGTAGTGGACTATAGCCGTGGTGTATCACCAGTCAGACCAGCGAGGTACTACAGGAGTGTCTATCCAAGTGTGGCACCAGACCAGCGGGGTACTAGAAGAAGTGTCTGCTTTCCAGGTGTTGCAGGTCAAACCAGCGAGGATCCTAGAGTAGTGGACTATTGCCCTGGTTTATCGCCTGTCAGACCAGCGGGGTACTACAGAAGTGTCTATCCAGGTGTGGCAAGTCAGACCAGCGGGGTATTAGCGTCTGCTATCCAGGTGTTTCTAGTCAAACCAGCGACGACCTAGAGTATGGACTAGCTCCGCCAGCGTGTCTCGTGCAGCCTACCGCAGACAGGCCTCGAGCATTTCGACGAAGAGTTTGTTCATGGGCACGCGGCGCTCGCGGTGCAGGCCGGCCCAGAAGCGCCGCACGGCCACGTCGGCGTGCCGCAGCGCTGGCAGCACTAGCAGCAACTGCTGCAGCGCTGCGTTCGCGTTGTACGGCCTGGAATGGATACGAGACGGTTAGCGTCTAAAGCTTTAATCACACCAACGCGTGCAGATCCCCATCGTCGCCGGCGCGATCATAGGCAAAGGACAGAGCCCCGATTACGGTAATTTTTAACGTCAACAATCCAGACACGCTTCTCGATTCTGCGATACGATTGGTCGTTCAACAGCGTACGTCAGCTGTTTTGACCAATCGTATTGCAGAATCAGAAACGCGTCTGGATTGTAGACGTTAAAAGTTACCGTAATCGGGGCTCAGGTCGCGGGTCCTGTCATTGGTCGCGTGACCTGTCATTGGCCTATGTTCGCGCCGGCGATGGCAATCTGCACGCATTGGTGTGGTTGAAGCTTTAAACGAATATATTACAAGACAGTAAATACAGCCGACAGCNGTCTGCTATCCAGGTGTTTCTGGTCAAACCAGCGACGACCTAGAGTATGGACTAGCTCCGCCAGCGTGTCTCGTGCAGCCTACCGCAGACAGGCCTCGAGCATCTCGACGAAGAGTTTGTTCATGGGCACGCGGCGCTCGCGGTGCAGGCCGGCCCAGAAGCGCCGCACGGCCACGTCGGCGTGCCGCAGCGCTGGCAGCACTAGGAGCAACTGCTGCAGCGCTGCGTTTGCGTTGTACGGCCTGGAACATACGACGGTCATTTTATGCCAAAAAGCTACTGCGAGTGTGGCAAGGCATTGCAAGCAAAATGTTTATGACCACACTAATTCTACGTGTCATTGCAACTTTTCAGTGACTGTTTCCACCGTGTCTAAATTGTGATACATGTCACCATAAACGATTAAATTCCGAGATTCCAGACACAATCAGAAGCAAGTGAACGCTCCCTAATCTAGGCTACTTTCCGCCGTAGCATATACCACATCAACACATTCTCGTCATGTTGAGACGACGTACAAGTCGGAACATGGTGATGCAATAGGCAAAGGTACGGCGACGAGTCCTTGTGGCATTTAACTAGATATTGAACTGACTACAGCCAGTCTCGTTGAGACGAGTTACGTCACGAGTTTCCNGATTTTTGATGTAACGTCATGGCCGCCAGGTGGGTAATTAACTCGACCGGGTTGTAACTACAGTCACGGTTTCATTGAGAACACACTACATTGATGACGTGACACGGTGTAGCATTCGTGAGGGCTACAAGAGGACCTACTATTTGACACCTGAATTTGACGTTGCTCCTGAACGTGTCGTAGAAAGAACACTACATCCATGTCTGTAGAATACCATTGCATTTGACAATGTACTGGTCTTATCTACCGTTGAGACAACATTTTATCCATGGCAAGGCACTGACCTGAGCACGGCGACGGCGTCGTTGAGCGCGGCCAGGATGGAGTCGCGGAAGCGGCGCAGCGCCGCGTGCTCGTCGATGCGCGCCTCCGAGTTGGCCAGCACCAGAGCTTTGAGCAGGTAGCACTCCTCACGCATGGCTGCCGCGCTCTCGAGGCGCTTGGCCACGCCTGCCACCTGGGGGAAACAAAAACATTAAGTATGACGAAGCAACTCCTGAAACTAAAAGCTCTTTTAAATTGCGCGTGAGGCGTGCACAGTGGCAGCTAGGGTTTCTGATTTCTCGACTTATTTTTTTTCTCGAGTTTCGAGAATTCTAGAGGCCAAAGTCTCGAGTTTTCTCGGGTCTCGAGTCTTTTAATGAAAACTGCTGAAATCGGTTGAAATTTAATAAAAAAAAACGGGGTTTTTTAATCTAATATACCTTTTATGCACAACAATCAATATTAGAATTTAGTACCACTTATTTTGGTAAGGAAACAAACAAAAAATAAAATCTTTCATACTTAATATTTACTAATAATCATAACAAAAGTCATTAAGAATAAATAACAATAAAAATCTGGAGCTACAAATGAATCACTTGTTTTCTAAAGAACACAAGTCCGAATAGCAAAATTACGATAAATAGATTTTTTATGAACAAAAAAAACTTTTTAATAAATTTTTAAATTTGTCACAGATAACGACTTGAATAAACTTTATGAGGAGGCACGAGTACCTAACCTAACGTCTGTTAGGTGAGGTAATTGTCTAGTTAACAAATTTTTCAGTCTTTAAATCAGTCAGAGTTAAACATACAAATATTATACTCGTTGGTGAACATTATTACTTAGTTTCAATTGAGATCATTACTTGCAATTTTGGCAGCACAATAGTTTCCATCCATTCCACTTTTAAAAAGCAGTTGCAGAGTAGTGGCGCCAAAGTGACGTAGATGTGCGGCTATTGGGTACAGTGGCGTTACTGCAGCGCTTCGTTATGCGTCTGATTTCAAGACCCCCTAAAACTAGTTTCACAAAGGTGTGCAACGTTCAAGATGAGATATGATGAGGTACTCATAAAATGATCTCATTCGTCTCAACCAAAGGACGTCCACTGCTAGGACAGAGATGCCACTGAAGAACTTTTCTGCCCCAACCGCCATCATCTCTACGAGCTATGTGCCCCGCCAGAGCCATTAAAGTCAATATCCCAGTATTAAGGTGATGCCTTGCGAATATTGGGCGTTTTAAAGAAGCGCAGAATTAGTTTTAATCGTACTTTTCTTATTACTTATGTTCTTATTTTGAAATATGTCATAGTTGACTAATAAATCTAGTGTCTGGTCGAAGCCGAAACATGAATGAAAACAATTTTCTCGATAGAAAAAAAATCCAAAGATGACCCTTCTATTACTCGGTTTTTCGTTTTATAAGCAGATAGGCTAATATTTCAATACCAAAGGACATTGTCAGAAACCGCCTAAAAAACCGCCAAAAAACATTAACCCATCATAATTATTTTCTATTTTTTTTAATACATTAAGCACCCTTTCGTTCTAATGGACACTTAAGCATTGAAAAATTAAATAAATAAGTCTTTTAACGTTTATTCTATAATACTATTACAACTTCCGGACGTTTTGGTACGTGGCATGGTCTAAACCTATCAAGTTCCATAATTTTTGCGGTCATTGGACAAAATTCTACGTGCTCACAGACCAGGCTTTACTTTGTATACTCTTTAAATATATACACTCGCGAGCTAAAGTATGGAATCACTTACATGAAGTTGTTTCCACGCGATCTTGTGTACAGTACTACAGTCACGGTATGAAAAGGTTCCTCAGTTTTCAATTTGATTTCTTCAACGAATCGCGAGCACATATTACCTTTTGAAACTATGTTACAGAATAATCTCGAGTTAGAGAAAATAATCTTTAACCGTTCGTCGGTAAAGTTCAAAATTATTCAGATCAAAGTTGTTTGACGATTTAACTTGTCAAGAAGATTATTAAGTTTGATAAACTAAAACCTTCTTGTTGGTTCAACCTGCCATTATCTAATAAATAAAAAAAAACTACATTTTGTATAGCCTGACCAGGAACATAAAAACCCTCGCCATGTTGCGGAAAACTAATGGTACTAATTTCTTTTAATGGCAACAGTAACTGAAAACTTCATTGACATCTTGCATGTCAGTCTATTGCTGTCAAAGTGTACAAAGTTTATTTTAAATGTGCGCAATTGGTTTTATGAATTAAATTGCTAAAATATTTTTATAGTCGTGAAAGAAAAGTGGATCACAATGTGTTAAAGTATTTGTCGAAGATAAATACTAAGGGTTTGGACAATATTTTCATTGAATAATGTTTCCAACAAAGGTTGTCAAATTGACTGACATGTTTATCGTATAGTACAGTCCACTATGAAAATTAGCTGTGGTTTGTTTCAACTACCTATTTTTAAATTTTTTGTCCCTTTCTATGTGTTGAATTTTATGGGATTGGAAAAGAAGTACCGAGTTTGAAGCGTTCATGAGCAGACATTGCATAGTTGAATATTCAAGTTCTGAATTTGATTATTGATGAATAATAAAATAAATTCTACTAGCACGATTGATGGTTTCATTTAATTTATTTAAATCAGGTTACCTATAATAATATATTTTCGTTAATTTATGAAAATATCAAATTAGCCCGTAATTCTGAATCCTGATACATAAAGTTAGCCTACTAATTTAACACAGGTACGACTGTACTCAGTGTTGCACTATCAAATGCAATTGACGCGCCTCTATGCCAGGGTTTTTATGTTCCTGGTCAGGCTATAACATTGCACTGAATTCGATGTCTCCTACACTGGTGTACCTAAGTGAAAAAAATAGATTATACAGGAGAGCCATTTAAGTGGCCAGAACCATATTTTTGGGTCATATCTTCTGACCTACTAAAACGAATTTAATGAAATTTCACATATAGCCTTAACATTTAATGCTTTTGCTACTGCTGTTATCAATTTTTATATTTTTCTTATATATTTTGAGATTTTATGCATTGCCCTTTTACGTCGTCATATTTTTGTAATTTTATGTAATACTAGCCGCCGCCCGCGACTTCGTACGCGTGAAATTTGGCATGCATATCTTACGCGGTTTAGATTTTTTCATACAAATGTTTTTTCCCGCTAACTCCCGTTCCCGTTAACTCCCGTTCCCGTTGGAATTTCGCAATATCCTGTTGTAACTAAGCTTTAAGTTTACTAAGGGACCTGCATGCCAAATTTCAAGCGTCTAACTTACACGGTTTAGATATTTCATACAAAAGGATTTTCCCGGTAATTCCTGTACCTGTGGGAATTTCGGGAATTCCTTTTTTTAGTGCACCTCTACGGTACCTAAGCTACGTCCCTTATAAATTTCAAGTGCCTGCGTTTAGCCGTTTAGGCTGTGCGTGGGTATGTCAGTGAGTCAGTCATACAAAAGGAATTTCCCGCTAATTCCAGTTCCCGTGGGAATTTTGCAATATCCTGTTGTAACTAAGCTTTAAGTTTACCAAGGTACCTGCATGCCAAATTTTAAGCGTCTAACTTACGCGGTTTAGATTTTTTCATACAAATGTTTTTTCCCGCTAACTCCCGTTCCAATATAATTACGCGCGAGCGATAAGGATGGGTAGCTTGGGGTCATTGGACAAAATTCTACGTGCTCACGGACCAGGCTTTAGTACATCCACTAAGGTAGAACCCATAACACAAGCATAAAGTTGCTTACTTCGGGGCTGGCTGGCGCTGTGTGAAATTGTCCAAAGATTTATTTATTTATTTAGTTAATGTCAGAATAAAAAGATTTTGTTAAAAAGAAACATTAAAAATCAAAATAATTAATCTAATTGGTTTACTTATTTTATTTATTAGTTAGTTACACCAATAAAGTCAGATACTTTTTAATATGGCTATAACACATTCAAATCATGATACAGTCAGGAAATAAGGTAACAGTGTGACCAGTTGGGAAGATAGATAAAAAAATGACATAATGAGTAACAGTGTGACTTAATGGGAATTGATTTCATAGTAAGTAAGGTGAGATACAGACAGATACCAAGAGCTTTCTCATTGTGTATAAAAAAAAATTGGGTGTGACTTGATGAGAACAAGCAATATTTTGCAGTTATACTATAAGATAGACTGAACAAAATGAACAAATTCCTCATAATGTTCCAGTGATTTTTGTTTATTCTGTTATTTCACAAATCCAGTGCTAAAAAAGCCTTACTTAAGTATCTCAACACACTCAACTATGAAGACACTGAGAGATTACTAAGCTCCCCAAAATAGACCCATCTTGCCTATTATTTGAAAAGCCCCATTCTTTCGTTTTTACATTATGACAATTTCGTGGAATAGTACGCCCTTACGCCAATTACTCATTCACATACACACCCACACACACTCTCATATCATTGTATTTTGTATGGTATTTTTTATTTTTTGTTTAGCCTGTCTATTTAATTAAAACCCAACACTCTGTACTTCTAGGAATCTACCAATTATTGATATGTATAATTATTTAATAAAATAGATTCCGCGGAGTGGTCCTGGTGCCCTGTAATACAGATTTTCTTAAAATCTACAATAGGCACCAGCTCTCACAATGCTGATCTATAGTTTAACAGATATAATTATTATATTAAATGTTTTTCCTAATATATTGTGAGAGAAATAAATAAATAAATTATTATTATTTATGTAAGATACATAAATAATAATCTTAACCTTCCAAAATGAAATGCTGTGTACCTGTAGTTGATGCCATACACACACCATGTGTAAATCATGTTAGAACTGTATGTATTGTATGTGACTTTGTTGTACATGAATAAATAAAATTAAAAATATGAAAAATTGCAACATTATCATTACTTACATGTGGGTTGTCGATTGCATGTACATAGGCTACCAGGCGATCATGCATCGTCATGGATTCTCTACCCTCACTAAACTGTTGCATCTCTATTGCCTGAAATCAAAACAATTTAAGTTTATGTTATTCTAGATTTTCATCAGGATATCTAAATATATGATATAACTTAAAGGTGATTGACTGACTGACATTGAACAGGTCTGTACTAGGTAGCTACAATAAAACCGTGGACTGTATGTACTATATCATTCTATTTCGCTTTCAAACTAGTT